TACTTTTTCTAGAAAAGAAAAAGAATTTGAAAAAAATATATTTTTCATGTATAAATTGGCACAAAAAGGCACGAGTGGTGAGCCATTACAAATGATAAATAATGATAGAAATTACACTGATATGATAGAGGAGAAACAAAACATCGATTGATTAGAAATCATGAAGTTGAAAAGGAATTCAGTAGTATTAATTCTGTTATACAACTAACACAAATCGATTAATAAATAAATATTCCCGGAAAAAATCGCTTGACTCAATGAATAAATTAAAAATAAATCAATGAATAAATAAAAATAAATCAATGAACAAATAAAAACTGTACACAATAATCACAGATTTGCTGAAATTCGGCGTTGAATTTACATTAAAAAAAAAGAAAAAGAAAAAAGTGAAAACAGGGGAAGAAGGAAAAAGAAAAGGTAAGGAATAACGTGATTTAAATTTAACCGTGAGAAAAGCAAAGGAAAATTGATAAAAACTGATTACTTCTGGATCCGAATTTGAATATTGTTTAAAAAATAGAATCGAAAATGAGTGACGAAAGTTTCGAGTTTTAACAAGCATGAGTTAGTATAACTCTTTTTTTAAAATACTTCTATTTAATTAGCTAAGCAAAATGAAAAAGAATCTACCGATATATTAATAAATAGATATGCATAATTTCAAAAAGATATATATTAATTCAACGACAATAAAAATAGTTAACTTCGTAATACATATCAGAGGCTAAAATGGAATCGTTATTTTTCGGACTGGAATATCGAAAATTTTGAAGGAATGGGCAACAAGTAAAAAGATTAGTACGAAGATTTATCAAAAATTACGAAAGACTCAAAATTTTTATTGGAAATTAAAGGAACTGATAAAATTTGAATAAGGCAGTATTAAATAAAGGTGAAAATCCAAAAAGGTTTCCGTCTTACATGTAGGTTAATATGAAATATAAAATTGCGCTCGTTAACAAAATATTTTGGATCAGAAAATCGAAATTTAAAATTAAAACCGGTACGTTTTTCTTTGCATGATAAATTGAATTTAACCAGACTGGCTCAGTTCTAAATTTGAAAAAGAAAAAAAAATTAAGTGAATTGGGAACAGAAAAATGCTACATGAACAAAAAATATGATTCTTTTCACAAATTTTTATTAGACAAATAAAATTACAAATAATATGGATAATTTTGATACTTTTCAACCATTCCAAAAGACAATAAAAAAATTTTTCTAAAACAAATAATTTTAAAAATAGCTTCCTTTTTTCTTTTTTTGCTGCTATTGACTGATTGAGATTTTGTTCTTGATTTATGCAATGTTTATTGTGCACCATTACTGGCGGTATATTTCATTCGATCACCACTACCTGTAATTTCAATTTCAAATTCTTCATTTTATTTTTTAAATATGGTAATTTCAAAATTTTCAATTTATTTTTGCATATGAAATTTTATTGAGATGGAAAGTAACGGGAAATGGGTAGCTAAAAAAAAATTCCATCGAAATCAATTTCAAAAAAGAGAAAATAGATTTAATTTTAAATTACCGAAATATCTTTCCTCAGGAATACGATGATTTTTCTGAGGATCTCGTTTCCCTTTTGGGCAACGACAAAAATCACCACAAAATGGATGAGCGAAACCACATTCATCAGCTGTATTTGAGCAATTTGGATAGTAACTAAATTAATAAATGTATTCTGTAAATTTAACATTAAATTTAAAAAAAAATTAGGCGATAAAATTGGAAATCATTCGAAGTAACATAGAAAATAGTTTAATAAATTGAATCATCTATCACTGATTTTCATTTTCTACATCAATTCACTGAAAGGAATAATTTATGCAAAATAATCTGTAAAATATGTCGAATGATAAGAGAAATCGGAAAAGTTACCGGCATTGCTCTCGCGGATGCCAAAAACGACATGGAAAGTCGAGGCGATGTTTGGGATTATTCCAATGAATGCATTGTGGCGCTGGCTTATTAAATTTACCGCTACGCTCAACTACCATTTGATCCCATTGCGACATCTGGGTTGATACTGAGTTCAAGTTTGATGTATTTCGCTGTGGTGTTGCATTTGCACAATCTAAGAGATGTGTAAATATTTTTTGAAGGAAATTCACATTATTTTAAACAACTGAGTAATTTATTTTAAAATATCAAAGTATCGCTTGCCTTTTATTGGATTAAATGATGATTTGTTGTTATTACTAAGCGGTTTAATACCCTTTACAACAGCTGAGTAACATAATGGACTTCCAGATCCAGCAGTTGGTAATGGTGGATATTCTTTTACATATTCCGTCACATCATAAGTCTGGAGATGAATTGAAGATTTTCAAAGAAAAAAAGTATTTTTCGAAAAGTGGAAAAATTATGAAATTTGAAATTGTTCAAACATAACCTAAACTCTATGTAGTAAGAAAAAATAACTACAAGATTACGATATAATTTTGCTTTTTTATGCGCAAAATTCTGAAAAAAAAACTTCAACTGTGATACTTTCAGCGCTGAGAAGAAAGAATTTTTGCTTAAAGATGAATGGAAAGATTCAAATTTAATTTTAATAGTCGTAAATCATCGGAATATGACACATTTACCGCTGCTCCGCCATATGACTGATGATCCATTATCAGATTAGTATTCTCATTCAAATTTTTGCTACATTCCATTTCCCAGCTATCTCTATTACCTGTAAATTACAGTAGTGAAATGCAAATTAAAATGATTGCGAAATAGCCTAAGTTGTCTTTTAGTATCAAAAATAAGCATAAGTTCGTTTCAGCAGTGATTAGATTGATTTGTTTCTTTTAATTAAGTTCGAAAAGTATAATTTTATATATAAAGTTTATACATATAAGTCATTTTTGGAATCCAGGAAAAACTAAGAAAAATCTTTGGTTGTCCAAAAAAAGTATCGAAAATTTACATACCATTTTCATTGAGCACACATATATCATTCTCTTCACCACCGTAGTCATCTTCATCTTCGCTGAATACCTCAATTTTGACCTCTTTGTGACTTTTTGAATCTTCCTCGACTTCGTTACTCTACAAGTAATACAAATGTAATAGTGATTCATCAATAAATGCTCCAGTAATCCAATGCAGTTTGGTATCACGTCCCTCACTAATAACATCTTTAGACTTACTACTAAAACTTCTTCCCAATTAACTTCCTATTATAACAGAATATCATTTCTCTTTCTTTTCATTTCCTTTAGAATTATGAGTTTAGAAAAAACTTCGACTAAGCTAATATCAAAGTGAAATAAGCAATGATACATGCTAAATGTAAAGCCTTACTTGTGCTATTCATACTTCATATGAAAACCAATACAATCAAAATATAATCAGAAAATCTTTCACATTTGACGGCTTATAATTAATTACTCACAATTAAGTACAATTAATTACCTGATTCTGATGATATCCATTTATCGTATTATTCACATTGCAATTATTAACTTGTAGTTGCTGTGCAATTTGTTGTTGAAATTGATGTTGCTCTTGTAAAAGTTGTGATGCTGCAGCAGCCATTTGTGTGGCTACATATGGATCAAAGGTAGCAGTTGGTGTTGCATGTTGCAGCATTGCAGTATGTGTTGTAACATTTGCCGCTGCTGCAATATTATATACTGCGGCAGCCGCAGCTGCTGCAGCTGCGGAAGTATCAGAATGTGCGACAGTAGCGGAGGTGATATCGAAGCGAAAAGGAAAAGCCAATTGTTGCATAAAAGTTAATGGTGATATCACGGGATACGGTACGGTTAACGGTGATGTTGCAGCATTCAAGCTGTTACCGATTGTTGCTTGCAGTGTTGCTATATCCGTTGATGCATTAGGATACGGTATGCTGGGCCTAAAAATCCTGATTAAAGATTACCATAATATGCAATCTATTCTTCCAAGAAACGCTATAAAAAAGGAGAAATAGTAATTTTTAACAGTTCATTCTTTTTTATCTTTTCTAAGAAATGATCCTATTAGTGATGTATAGCGTTATCAAAGATAGATTGAGTGTATATGGGATACTGTATCAATGAATTTTTAATGCATATCAGTATTACAGAACAAGATGGTTGCAAGATTTTATTTTTTTTGAACAGATTGAAAATCATTGCTTTAATATAAAAATGATTAAAAATGGCATATGTATATCACTAATAGATTAGGAAAAATTAAAAGATAAGAATGGAAGAGAATATATCTGTAAATATTATTCTTATAAAATAAAAAAAAAATTCAATGAAAAAGACATTTTAAATCATACTCTTTTCCATTGGTTGCTTTAATAAGCTTTGCAATTTTGATGCTAGAAAGGAAATGTGCGTTGGCTAAAATTTCCAGACGACAAACATCTGTGGTTGAAGCTACCAGAACGCCGTTATTCGGCGAACAAGCCCGAATACGTGCTTCAAGCAATGATATTGCACTGAAAATTTGCATGAATTTTAGTTTGAGAATGTTTAGCTGCAATAATTTATCTATAAAACACGTTATTTCGCATAACAGTATTACATGAATTGTTATTTTAGCTCATATTTGCAACTACATCATTATTTCTCCAAATTTTTATTTCCCCAAAATATATCAAAATTGTTGGCAAGTTTGAAATTTAAATCCGAATGATTTAAAAATTTTGAATCTTTAAAATAAATTTTACCAAATGTGCAAATAATATTTTTGCCTTATAAGTAGCCTTTCTTTCTTCAAAATTTAAAATGATCACAGAATTATAAAATAAAACATATATGACGATAAAACAGAAAACAGAATGGCTATAATACACTCTTTGACTCGGCTTGATCGTAATCAGCTATTAATGACCTTCTGATATGCCAAAAGGCCACTGATAATTCATTTATCATTAACACTCTCATTACAAATGTTACAATAATGAATTTTTTGAAATAACTCAAAATATTATCGAATGAAATTTGTATTTCATAAAAAGAAAGGAATAAACTAATCCGAGAGATGGACGAAAAATTTGCTAATTATAAATATTGGTATCTTTAATAATTTAAATCTTAAATTTTTTTAGAAAATTTCTCCATTTTGTGAAAAAGAAATTTGGGAAATGAAATGAGTATGAAAAAATGGTAGAAGAAAAAAAAAGTGAAAATAGAAATAAAAGGGAATAGAATTTTCTTAATCACTAAAAGCAATAGTGTTATCATTGATTAAAACGCTGACAATGTATATGGATACTGATAGGAAAACTTCATATTCTCAAAATATTCAAAAATTAAAGAAAATTTGTTGAATTTAAAATTGTTAAAGATTTTGTTTAGTTTGAGAAAGGAATACTAAATACAATATTGATAACGATCAAAGTGATGAATAATTAATAATTATAGAAATAGTAGTAATAATGATAAAAACAATATTACACATTAAAGGAATAGCAATTAACAATGAAAATCATATGTAATAGTGTTTTAAGAGAAGAATAAACTTTTTCCTTTTTAAAGAAATAATTTATTTGCCTAAAGAAAAGTAGTGAGAAGAAATGAATTGTGCACTAGAAATGTTGACAATTTCAATCAAAAGTAAATCCTATCCTAAATTCAAGTAATTTAAATTAATAAATTATCTGAAATTAGTGCAGATTCGATCATTTCCAATTCGATGCATTTGGTAGACTGAAGTGAAAATGTCATATGTTCACCGTGATAGTGACAAATATTGATATGATTAAAAATTGTTAGCATCAATGGCATAGTGATTGTGATCATATTTGCATTGAATTATTGAACAATAATCTTTGCTCCATTTTCCTAATGTTGATAGTATTTGATGATTTTGTTTATTTGTTAACAAATTAAACCAATTTTATTTGCTTGAGTAATTATCAATTGCTCATTGCTCATCGTCGTTAACATTATTACTACCACTACTACCATCATTATCATCATCGTTATGATCACCATAGCTATTATCAACCTGCTATCACCATGTCACCAACATCACCATAATAATCACCACTACAATCGTTATCATCATCCAAATCATTAAGATCAATTTTTAGCCATTAATTTTAGAACAAAAAATAAAATTTTTTTGAAGACGAAATACATATATTGTAATGTACACATACATGCACAGACACAGACACACTGCATGCATGCACATTGCATGTATACATATACAACACGTTAATAGATGTTGACAAAAATGCGAACAGACAGGTATGCCATGCGCACAAACAGGCAAAGTGCGCACGGTAGTTTTCTCAACCCATCAGTATCACAATTAAGTCTTTTTTTAATTACAAATATTTCTTCCATACTTTTTAAACCTAACAATCTTGTCTTTTTCTTTATTCATTGCTTACTTACTCTCTTCGATCATCTCGACAAATCGTTGTCCTAATTTTTGTTATTATCATCTCTTTTCTTCTCTTTTTCTTTTCTTTTCTTTTTTATCTTATCATTCGTTTTTTTTCCTTCATAAATTTTTAAATACTCTCTGTTTGTTTTTATCAAAGCTTAATTAATTTGCCTGCTACATATAAATGTATTGATAGCAATAATTGTTTTAATTATTTGAAGAAAAAAAGAAAAAATAAACTAATTTTTTTGGAATAGAAAAGAGAAAGAGAATAATTTGAAAGAAATAGCATACACAGTACGTTCGGTTAGTTGATATATGAAGAAAAATTGAAATTTACACAATTATAGATTACTGCAAAGGATGGAAGGGAAAGGTAAGAGATTGCAGAAAAAAAAAAGATGTAATGAGACATTTTGATGAAAAATACAGTAACCAAATCTCAACAAAACAACATTCAATTAATTTTTGTTAACTTTTAATAAACGCATTTATATAACAATAACAAAAAGTAAATAATTAAAAAAGAAGAAATGATGGAAACAATAGGAGTTATTCAATATTAATAATTAAATATAAATTCCAATAATAGCTTACCAAACCTAACAATCATATGCGCATATGTCTTAATTAATTATACCTTGTAAAAATGAATGTTGAAAATGATTTTTTTGTTACCAATTAAATTCAGAGAATTTTAAAGAATTTTTGAAATTATAATAGCTTAGAACAGAAAACAAAAAATTGACATAAAAGGAAATCAAAAACGTTGCATCATTTAATTAAAAACGATTTAATAAGATAGATGATACGTAGAATTGAAAAAGTACACAATTTGCAATTAAATTATATACGATAAATTGTATTATTTTATTTGTTAATAAAATATTCTTTTTTCGGAGAAAGATTGTCACAATAGAATTATAGGCATTAATTAACTAATTGACTAACTAACCAATCAAAAGTTATTCCATCAAGTTTATGGCAAAGAAAATTGCTTAAATATTGATTTTAAAGTTTTAAATCATGAATAATCATACTAACTATCATATTGTCTCTCATTTTACTTCACGCAATAAAAAATAAAAAACCAGCAACTATTAATGATACTAATTGCAATATTGTTATTGGTATTGTTGTTGTTGTTGTTATTGTTATTGTTACAATATCATTACTACTATTGTTATAGTAAAATTACTCATCAAGTGAAAGAATTACTGAGTAGTATTGTTGTTAATTATACAAAAAAAAATAAATTAATTAATTAATTAATCAAATTCAATTCACATCATTGGAAACGACCGTTTCTATCACATACACACATACACATATACACACATACACACATACATACATACACACGTGCATATACTTACAGGACAAATGGTATTATAAATGAATTGAACTGGAAAGTGGAACGGACAAATGGCTGGAGTGTGGTAAGATCTGATCGGTGGTCCATCATCATCATCATCATTATTATCATCATCATCGTAGATGTCTGTCCAATCTATTTAATAAATAAATGGGACAGACATAGTCTGTCCGGTCATCGTTTGTTACGCGAAATGAATTTTCATTATTTCTTCCACTATCTCACTTCCCTCTCAAGGTGACAAAATTCAAAGGTCAGTCAATACTTTCATTGAATTGCGCGAAATTCGGTCATTTCTTTTTTTTTTATTCCTCCTCTCTCTTACTCTTAAAACGGACGATCACAGCGATTACAAGGATGAAGTTCATCTGTCCAGACATATATGCCTTCCTCTTTCTTCCTCTTTTCATTCTTTCATATTATTCATATCTCTTTTGACGGTATTCGTTCATCTATTTCTTCTTTTCTCTTCCACTTCTCATCTCTATCTCTCTTCAAAATTACTAATTGTTCTGAAGGTCATTGCTACCACATAAAGACAGATATATGACTGGACAGTGCTTTCGAGAACATTGATGAATGGAATGATTACCAAAGGATGGTAAATGAATGAATGAATATCAAAGTGATCATTCTTCATTTTGCATCATTCCTTTTAACTAAATAATAATAATTAGTAATTGTTTTAGCAAATAAATGATAAGGTATTATTAACTTCAGTGATTTATCAATAACAATTCGATAATATAATTTTAATAAAAACTAAATAGTAATTACTTTTACTAATTAACGATAAATTAAACAGAAACATTAAGAACAATTAATCAATAAAGTGAGATATTTAACACTAATTGGTCTAATTTGGAAAAAAGAAATCTTTTCTTCCTTTTATACAAACAATTGACAAAAAAAAAAGAAGAACGGAATGAAATGCAGGCAAAATGGTATGCACAAACAACATTTGTTTGATGACTGTGAAAAAGCAAACATTTCTATATTTTAATGTATATGTATGTGTGTATGTGTATGTGTATGTATGTTTGTATGTGTGTGTATATGAGTATGTATATGTGTATGTATGTGTATGTGTGTGTGTATGTGTATGTGTGCACGTATGTCGCAGGCATTTAAAGAAATTACTTAAAAATGAATTTCTTTGAAATGCTCATTGTAATATTGTTTTAAATCTATATAAATAAAAATGATATTTGTATAGGTATATATTAAAATGAGAGAGAGGAGAGAAAGAGAAAGGAGAGAGAGAGAGAGAGAAACGATCTGACCAACAAATAAAGCAGCAAAGATGACGTTGGCTGACAACGATGAAATGTGTTGAATACAAAAGTGTGGGAGATGAAATTTCGAGAACAGCGAACAAAATTCATATTCATATTATATATATATATGTAATGAATATATTAGAAATGAAATAATGTATTAGAAATATATCAATATTTATATGTGCTATATGTATATAAAATCAAATAAATAATCAATGAATAAATAAATATGTATAAATACAAAATAGATGATATAATATATATATATATATATATTATAGAGAGAGAGAAACAGTCACTTCGTCGCCTATCCATCCTTTTCACATTCCCTTTCACTCGTCATCCATCGTTTTCTTTCTTCAACAGATAATTCAAAATCGATAAAACTTTGATTGAATGAGGAAAAACTGGGAACAACAAGATCGTGAAATTTTTATGTATAATAAAAAAACAGTAAAGTATATCATCTATATACATATAATTTAAAAAAAAAAAAAAATGCGAATAGTTACGACATTTCATTATAATAGATAATGGTTATAACAAAAGGAATTTGATAATTGTTATGAAATAATTAATAATTATATTCTGATTTTTTGATGATGTTTAGATTTTAAAAAAAAGAAAAAAAAGTTAGATTTAGTAATGATATTAATTCAACAAAAGATTCGACCATCCGATCAGATCAATTGATCTTTCATCAGATAAATT